GATGGCGTTTCTCCATGCTCTGGGGATGGTGTTTTCATTCCACGTCTTGTTGATCAGCTGGAGAATATAACCCTTACCAATGGGACTGAGGTTGACAAACATTTCATTGTGAATCTTATCTGGTCCTGGGGATTTGCGGGGCTTCAGTTTCTTCATTGCTGTGCGCATCCTGATACACAAAGCAAAAGCAGTAACATTCATACACACTTAATACATAATGTGTAGCAAGTTATTGGCTCTTTCCATTATAAGTCTAAATAGGCTAACAAAATAACAATGCAAAAAAAACACTCGATTTTATTTACAATAACTATGATCGTACTTTTTAACCCCAACAACTCTTTCATTTTTCGCCTTTCCATTATAATGTTCAAATCGGAAGGGGCACGTGATGTTTTCAAAGAGATATCTGCTTTTAGGTGGAAAGAAAGCGCGCCACGTTTACTAATAAGCCGAATAAACTAATGCCTACTTAATGCAGGGCAAGTATACAAGATCAGGAGACGTTGACCTGCAAAATTGTAAATACCGTTACTTCTTGGGGTCAAATGCCAGTTTTTAATAATACTGCATGGAGCAAACATGTTGACAGTGTTATAAAATAGGCCGATAAGACGCTTTTTATTGTTTATTTTTTAAAGAAAAGTTAAGTCTTTCGAAATAGATAGAAATATGGAAACTACAAGTAAGGCAGCACTATTTTAAAGCTTAATTACAGTCGAACCTGCCTTACCTAACGGAAACCTGTACAAAATGGAAGCCTATCTTAATGGAATCTCCCCTCTCCCCCCTTGATATATTCCTCTTTAATCACCTGTATAAAACGGAAACCTGTCCAACGCGGAAACGGAAAGAAAAATCCGCTCCGTTCCGAGGGTTTCACCTAAGACGGAAAATGCTTTGCCTGCAGAGTCCTGATTTGAAACAAAACTCGCAAGTTTGGTTCCGCCGGCTCTAAACTAACGCTATGGCTATGGTCATGCGGCTGGGCGAGGAAGGGGAGTATGGGTACGGTTTGGGGAGAGATGTTACCCCATCATGTGAGCCCTGAGCGATACAGATGGTCAGGGTAGTGTGAGTGTGAAATCTCAAGACTGCCCGTGAGAGTGCTCGAGTAGCGAACCACTACGGAAACTTTCCCGGGTCCAGAAGCCAGAGGTGTGAAATTAGATTGACCAATGCCTGCCGCCCTTATCGTACGGCCAGCCGAGAAAAGAGTTCCTTGAATCGTTGTTGCAATGATGGCAGTAAGGGGTGGCATTGGTGGGTGGGGCTAAGGATGGAAGCAAGGGAGATGTTCAAACGTTTCTGTTTTTAATAGGTCAAACAGTGGTCCTATGAAAGGCTAGCACTGGCGGTAATAGGATAAGTAAGACTGACGCATGTCATTTTCAG